AGGAGCATATTCACGCCCCGCTGCAGCTTCAGCCACCCGTTGCTGCCCCAATAGGTACCCCAGGAGTTCCGAACCTGCATCAAACCAACAAAAAGGACACAAAATCAAAGGCCGGGGGTTGTCTCAAACAGGTGAACCGTCCATCTTTCTCCACAAGAACCTGTAAAGAACCCTTGGCATGAGCCCCTACTACTTGGTGTAAGCAGTGGGTCCATACACTTAGCCTCAAAGGGCAGCGGTACCGGTCGCTAAGTAGTCCTTTTGCCGAATCCTCTCTTGCGACAAGCTTGGCACACCTCAAAGACGAATCAAACCCAGGCTTGGGCCAGCACCTTTCTGGTTGCGAGGAAGCGGGTTCACGGGTTCGGGGGGGGATGATCTAGGCCTAAGGCTTTGTAGGGGGAATGCCTGGTCAACCGGGGCCTCCAGAGAGCCGGCGGTCTACCTTGTGGGCTAAAGGGAGCCACCATGAAGAGGACAAATCCACTCAAAATCGGGTCTCCAAAACAATGCTATGTTCAGGGTAGACGAAATATGCAGCAAAATCTGGGACAAGACCTGGTTGCCCCCTAAGAGTGCCAAAAACGTGGCAAATTGATGTGGCAGTCGCCAGTTGGTCAACAGGGTACGGCAATGCGGACATTCCCAGGCATGCATTGAAATACTTTGGAGGCCGATTTTTGAGTTGAGTCCGTTAGATGGCGGCGTTCGTGTTGTTCGACCCTTTTGCTTGGACCCCAAGAGAGGCAAATAAAGAGTCAAAAACAGTGGGGGGGGGGGGGAACCGGTCCCATTTTCAGGTAGGCTTCCATTGTTCAAAGTCGGCTCTGGTTGCGTGGTAACAAGGGGCAACCAGGCATCTGCACTTTTTGGGCGGTGCCAGCTGTTCCACTGTTCTTTACTTCAGCCTGGTAGTGGTCATGAGCCCCTTGATAGAGATTTACAGAACCATTGTGGGGCACATCCTTTCCCAACACAAAGGCGCAAAAAGGGGACCTAGGGTCTAAACCAGGCGAGGGGCCACCCAGTACTTGATGCCTTTGCTCGACACCCCCCAGCCAGCGATTTCCATGTTGTGGTCCACGTCGTCCGCGGTGTAGTTCTTGTGGGAGATGTACACCTCGCAAGTCAAAGGCTGATCGGATCCAAATATGCGCCCAATATGCGCCCAGAACCGCATAAGAATCGTGGGAACCGTGTGGGAACTTTGTGGGAACCGTGTGGGAACCGTGGGAACCGTGGGAACCAGAACTGTGGTGGGAAAGGCCTCAGGGAGACTGAAGGTTGGAAAAGGGAAGAAAAAAAGCAACTTGTCTTTCCCACAAAGCTAAAAAGCCCACCTATCGAAGTGTTGGATGTTTTTAGGGAAGCCGAAAACCAACAATTCTGGGGGACCCTTCTTTTTGGAAACACTTAAATAAGTTCCATGCTGCGTGTTGTTTGCGTTGTTAACTTTCGCGGGGTGAAGAGAGAAAGAGAGACAGCGAGAGAGAGAGAGAGAGAGAAAAAAAAAAAAGAGAAAGAGAAAGAGGAAGAGAAAAAGCTGAGAAAAGAGAATGAGAAACGAGCAAGGAAGAGGAGACAAGAGAAAAGAGCAAAGAGGGAAGAGACAGAGAAACACGAAAAGAGAAAAAGAAAAGAGAAAAGAGAAAAGATACAACTGGCAAAGACAAAATAGATCAGATAAAAAGAACAGATAAAAAGAGAAAACAGAGAAAAGAGAGAAGAGATACAAACAAAAAGTAAGTTAAGAGAGAGAGAGAGAGAGAGAGGCAGAACGAAGGGAAATGGAAGCACGCACCAAACTATATATAGTTCTCATATCTTTGAAACTTCCGCCCGACCGGTATAAAAACTGAACGGCGTAACATGTTCACTGCTAGCCCTTTTCAGATCTCTTATCTCTGTGCACATTTGTCAGCTTATCTCTAGGTTGGTTCCAACGAATGGCCGCGGCATTATGTAAGATTTGCAGCCGGCACGTGCGCACATATTGAACGCAAGCACCAATCCAAAAAGGGAGAAACACACGCGCACACACACACACACACCCAGTGCAATGAGCTTTGGGTCCCGAAACCAACGCCAAAACTGGCGCGTCCCACCAGGAACAAAAAACACCACACACACACACACAAAACACGAAAGCCTCTCAAACCAAGCTCCTCCACTGAACAGCGGCTGTTTTCAGCAACCCTCCCCCATCTCAAACCAAGCTCCGTAGGGGCCGAGAAGCCCCATCGTTCTCCAAGACGTTTTGGGAGTAGTTCATCATGAAGGGGCCGTCCGTAGCGAAGGAGCAAGTGATAGGGCCACGCGCATAGATCTCTTTCATCATGTTCACCTCCCCGGAGAGGTTGCCAAAGGAGCTGACCCCATATCCGGTCCAGTTCCTCAGCCAAAACCACTTGTTCCAAGCCGGAGGGCCGGAGGATATACCAAAAATAAGAAACATCTGCTTGATCCTCAAGAGAGCCAAATGGTTGCCAGTCGGACAAGGATATAAAATGGGGAACACTGTTGGATCAAGAGCAACCCAAAGGAAAAGAACGTCCAAATGTTCCCAGCATTTGAACCAATCCAAAAAGGGCCATCTCTCGTTTCCAAGACGACATCCCGCGAACCAGTTTGGAGAGCGCAACGACGAATATCCTGGGAACGTTTTCCAAAAAGTGGCGCATTCCGAGGCTGTCTCTCCAAGCAAAAACTCAAACGTAGGTTGGGTTAACCCGCAAAAAATGGTCCGCGGTTTGCTTGTTACTCCACAGATTAACAGGAAGGATGCCAACAAAAACAAATTACTTGTGGGTCTCCTTTTTGGAGCCTTGAACAGCACTTTGGCCAAAGATGCTTGATGGTCCAGCACCCCATCCCGGGCAGGCAATTCCGGCATTGGTTCTTCGGGACGCACTCCATGTTCCGAGCTTGGTACGGCATGCAGCTCTCATCTGGCACCTTGGGCTCAAAACCACTTCCCCTCTTGGGGTGGAGGGTGTAGTTGTGTCCTTTAAGCCTGGAAGCTCGACTTCACCTACAAAATCTGTTGGAAAACATGAGGACGGCTTCATGGCTTCACGCTTTGGGATAGGTCAAATCTCTTGGATTCACTTTCCATAAATCTGGATATCCTGGATATCCTGTTGAATCGGATCGCGGATGCAAAATGGCACAAACCCTTTTGGTGGTGTGGTACCAGTATTCTTGGAACCAAAGAACAACCTTTTTGCGATACGAAAGTCCTTCCCAATCTTATCTCGTAAATCAAGTCAGGCATCTGGGTGATTCATAGCCCCGCCTGACTCCAAAAGAAAGAGAGGAAAAACATGAGAACCACCTGAGGTTGCGAATCGGATTGATTTCTTCCCCGGCCTCGTTCTTCATTAAGTACTGGTGGATCATCCAAGGGTCCCCTCCGTCACATCCAGGCGGAGGCAGGCTCTTGTTGGGCGAGGGCACGCAATTCATGAGCACCTCTGGATGAAGTTGGAGCTTGGGCACTTTCAAAGACCCCTCATTTGAGCGCAACAGAATATGTCCAAGTGGGTATGTGTCAAAAAAAGGGGACCAACAAAAAATGTGTTTTGTCCTTTTCGCTTCTGCTTGAAGCAACCTTTAAAAGGGTGCCCGTAAAACAACACACATCTGCCAAGGCACTTCCAGGGAGCTTGGGATGTGTTGCATCTTGAAGTTGGGACAACTTAGTCTTTGGACAAGCAAGAAGAGACCTTGTCAGTGGTGACCTGGTCACCCAGTTGGAACACCAACCAGGCTGCTTCTTTTGCCACGTTTATTGGGCTCATATCTCCAAGAGTCTAAGAGGATTCCAGAACCAATTTTGATAATGGTATTTCTCCGACAAGGTTGTATAGTCTAGGGCTCCTTTTTGGGAATCCTTTTTTGTGGGATTTCCAAGTTGGAGGGCCCTGAAAACCCTGCAAAAGTGGCGTCAGGAAGCAGGGCTAGGTACCCGACATTCAAAGGATTTTCGTTCCGGAAACGGTTTTGAATTCGGCCTGTTTTGTTTTCATGGGAGCTCTCGTTTTGGTCGAAAGTGCCTCGAGGCTCAAACCTTGCTACTTTGCAAACCAAGGGTTGTTGAGAAACCAATTCTCCATCCATGTGTCTTTTTTTCCACTTGGGTGCGGGTCATGTTCTATAGCCTCGGAGCAACCCTGACGATCAGCCAAGAAGCATTATTTTGTGAATATGGCACACATCAATCCAAAGCCTCCCGGTCGCACCCGCGTGTGGGTACAACAGTTTTGGGAAAGACTCCCAGCATCAAGGACTCATGGCCTGGCCTTTCCAAAATGTGTGATATCTGAAACCATTTAGACGACTCGCTCAACCTGTTCAGATACCAGGTGCCCCCGTGCGTATAAAAGCCTTGATTGTTGGGAAGCAGCAGCTCGCAGGTGGCCCAAGACCAAAAACTCGAAAGCCTCAAGCCTACCGCCAAAGTTGCCGGGCGAGGGTGGGGTTCGGGCTTAAGGGGTGTAGTTTTGGGGTGACTGTGGACTTGGAATGACTTTGGGGCTTGTGCGGTGGCGAAGCTTCGACTCGATGTCTGGATTCATTCGCCTGTCGGGCCAGCATCACGTCGGGGAACCGGGCATTGCGCATGACCTGCGAAAACGCCCACGCCCGGAAATCAAACGGTGCTTTGGCCACTTCGAACATGACGTTGTGGCAAAGTCACGGGCAACTTCAAAAGGAAACTTGCTTAAATACAGTGGTTCCATGATGGATTGCAAATGATTGCTGACGGGAGCAAACTGATTCCACGGCGAATTGAAATCATGACAAGCTTGTTTGGCAAGCACTGCTTCTGTAGCGGTTTTAAAACAATGTTTGATGGACAGCCTGCTGTTTTCCCGGCAATTTAAACCTGCAGATTGGTTAAAACACACTGATTCCATGGCAACTTAAGTATGCCCTTCGCAAACCGCTGATTCCACTTGCTAGTGGCCTCTTTTACATCCAACTCTGATCAATGGGTGCATCAAACTGATGGGCCTGTTGAGCAGAAACTTGAACATGTGTGGTTTGGTTTGAAAATTAGGGACCCCTTTGGGTTTGCGTCCTTTGCCCCTCTGCAAAGAGGTGTTATAAGGGCCTAAACTATTGGAATGGTGCTGTTGGGCCAGGATACTTTATAAACTAGACAAAGTCATGATCAGAAGAGAATGATGTGCGCAAACTCATGATTTATTTGGCCTGCACTCTCAATTTTCAGCACCTCTCCAGGTACTGTGCAACCGTTGCCCATCCAACACCCACCCAAAAAGCGGTGCCCTGTACTCAAATTATGCGCCTTGATGCGGTCGTTCAAGCTCGCCGTGGTTCCATGGATCCAGCAGGAGCCGCAGTACTGGGGGATGTGCTGGTTCACATCGCTGGTCACAAAATTCCGGCCGTTCACCTTGGTTGGGTTGAACCTCCAAAAGTTGACGTTCATTGGAAACCACCAGTTTCAAAGAAGATTTCGGCTCAGTTTGAGAGGACAGGGTTCCTTATGTGCCCCCTTGATTATAACATCAACCCCTCCCCCCGCCCAAAAGTTGATTGAATCACAAAAAGAAAGTCGTGTATGTATAAATATCTGAATATACGTGTATATATATATATATATACAACCCCCAACAGAACCCAACTGTCTCTTTCGTTCGCAAAAATGTCTCATATGCGCGAGCGAGCCGCGTCCCGCCAATCGAACTCCCTCGGCAGCTCCTCCACGGAAAGTAGCATGTCGGCCGTGATGAGGTCGACCGGCGCTGCCCGCGGGAGCCATGGCCTCCAGAACCCCACAACCCGATAGACTGAGATATGTCCAGAGGCACTTTGCGGAACCTACCAGTTCTGATGAAAACTGCAAACCTTCTGGGGCGCCTTTTCCTTTCATCTCCATGTGCGCGAGCGGCTTGGGCTCATAACCTGCAAACCTTCTGGGGCGCCTTTTCCTTTCAAAGCACAAAAGGGTCTGCGGGAAGGGTGCTGAATCGAGTTTCAGGCTCCCTTTTATGAGACAAGTGCCCAAAACCCTTCGGGATAGGAACAAACAACCGTTTTGTTGTTGGGCTTTAAATTTGGAATGGGTGAAATCCAGGGTCCTTCTGCCGCCTTGAGACCAAACCCGGAGCCCGTGCCTATCTGTTTGGGTTGGAAATTGGGAAGATGTCCTACCTCGAAGAGGAATCCAGAGCCGCTTAGGGGGCCAGGCATTTCGTCCACCCACCATCACCAGAAGGCCCTGAAAATGGCAACACGAAAAGCAGAGGACTCCCTTCCTCGGGTTCCAACGTGGGGGGACCTTCTCAATTCACCGGACTCCCCGAATGGGAAGCGTCAGAGTCTGATCCCAGCCTGGAGCTTCTGAAGCCCTGGTCCGCAGCTGCCGGCAGCACTAGCAGCGCCGCAAGGCAAGAGCTCATTGCCATGGCACAGCCCAGAAGGGGAGGGAGGGGCCGGGCGAAAAATTTCCTGGTCGACCTAGTCGACTTGGTCCAGTGACATGGACACCTTTGAAACCCCATTTTCTAATTATCACCTGAATTTGTGGTTTGGATTGGAAGCCGCAGATTTCAAGTCGTTGTTGAAGCCAAACAGGAAGGTATCCTTGACAGAGGGCCCCAAACACCGATTTGGGGTAAGGTGAAAGCAACCATTCCGCGCCCCCCATGCCCAAGCAACTCGTGTCTCACTGCACCAGGATGCTTCCTACCATGGGAACCCCTCCTTTGTTGTGTTGTTTTCTCTCTGCTTGCCTCTAAAACCACAAGGGGTGTGTCTTTTTTGGAGAGTACTTGCAAAAAATCGTGTCAGGAAACCCAAATGGAACGCCACTATTAAGCTTAGGGTGCGCTGTGTTGTTTGTGTTTCCTGGAATATTCGTATCACCACGGCATCAACTGCTTCTGACGGCTTACACGTATTTCAGGGCAAGTGCATTACGCGCTGCAGACGGCGCCGCAGTTTGTCGTCTTTTTGCTTCAGGGCATGGTGTTGGCGCGGTGCCCAGACTGTGCAGCATGAGCACAGAAAAAGCAATGAACCGGCTTACGAGAATCTACACTTGTGCTTGCTGTTCTGGTTTGTGTGTTCCTCCGTCGTTTTGTGTGCGTCCCTTGGAGCCAACTGATGACAATATAGCATAAACTGCTTCTGGCGGCACATTTCATGCCTGGCCTGGTGTGCGTGTTTGGCGCTTATCAAGCCCCAGCATTTCCTTTCTTGCAGCACAGTGCATACAGCATACAGCTTGAGCTTGTATCACTTGCAATTGAATGATGTGTGTATCACCCTGACAGCGCTTCAGGCCACACTGAAGGTGCCAGATCCGTGAGTGCGTGTAGACCCCAAACCCTAAATGAGAATCCCCAAAAAGGGTACCTGTTTTGCTTTCCCGAGCAGTCAAAAAGGTACACGAGGAAAACCCCGGTCCTCGTCTGCTCCTGTGGGCCGCCGCTGCGGCGCACAGACAGCGACTGCTGTAGCAATCTGTTCCGTGCCTCGAGAGGAGCGCCGGACGGTGGGACCAAACCGCACAGGACTCACCCAGGGAACTCCCTTTGCTCAGGTGAGATGCGCACCTTACAGCAAGGATATACGAAACAGGGTCACCCATGACACTTGTCAGCCAACAAAAGCCTCGTCAAAATGCAGGGTTGCGCCAACCCCTAGCTCCAACGTGTTTGTACAAACCACTGTTGTTCAAACAGCCTGCTTTTGGTTTCTCTTCAACGAGGATCAGGGTCCTTTTGCTAAGTTTGCCTGTCAAGCGAGAAATGGGCATATGTCAAAATAGAGGAACGGCATGTGTCAAACCCTCGGAATGGTGGTGTGCCTTTTGGTGTTCCCTTCAAACCCTGAAAATGGATGAAAATGGTGCCCTCGAAAAAAATGGGAAAACAAAGAAGGACAACACATGGCCTGCAAGTGTCTGCCCCCCCCCCCCCCCCGCCCCTCCGCCCGTCCGACTTGACGAAGCCTCGTCGGACACCACGTCCAGAGCGACAGGTCTCATCGCCGCTCTCCTAAAGGCGAGTTGCGTGAGCCTTGCTGCAAGGGCCTCGCTTGTTTCAAAACAGAACCATGATTTTAGTAAAGTCACAAGGGGACTGTATGTAGCTTGAAGGGAAACAATCCCAGAAACTCCATCAAAATCATGACCCCAGTAGTGTGGTCCCCTGTTGGGCTTCTTCTTGGGTTCCCTTAGAAAAAGATGCATAACCAGGCACCGAGCCTCAAAAACAAAACGTGCCCATTCTGGGGAGGGGTTGCGTACTTTTAAAACATCGTCCCATTTGAACAACCAGCTGCTATATCCGAAAAGAAAAAAACAGTTGATGTGGAAAGAATATTCCCGGACACAATGGAAAAGTCACCCCCAATTGGTATAACGAAAGTATGGGATTGTCTCACGAAAAAACCCTCTTGGGATGAAACAAAACAAAAAAAGGAAAACCAAGACTGATTAGCCTGCCATTGACGGGAAAGAAGATCCATTCATGGTCGGAAGGGGCCCTTCGAAGCACAAGCAAACCCAAATGGGTGCTTCCTTCAAGTCTGTTTAGTGCAAGATGCCCCATGGTTGTCCAGCCAGCGAAGAATGCGGCTTCCGGCTTTGGCCGGGCAGTCATGGTAAAATATTGCACCAGTCATGGTCATGGTTTCCTTAAGCGCCAAAAATAATTACTGTCAAGTCTGGGAACATCCCTGCCAACAGGTCTGTAACCTCTATCGCAGAGGGGAGTTTTGACCACGCATGTGCCTCTTTCCCCTGCCTCTTTTTCTGGAGCTCTCTACCAAGCCATGGCTGCTTGATCTCACAGCGAGCTTGCTGCAAGCCGGACATTCATGCCAAAGGGAGGCCGCTTCAAAATGACCCCATGCAAGAAAGGCCTGCAAGAAAAAACACTTTATACGTTATATGTCCGCATGCCTCCTGTACGGTACAACAGCCACGGGCCCATACGGGCCCAATACAATCGGCCCATACTCGCTCTCTCTCTCTCTCTCTCTCTCTCTCTTTTTCACGCGCGCCGCCGCTTTTGAAGCTCTTTGGCGAACTCATCCATGGTTTCCCTTTCACCCCGCGAGAAAACTCACGAAATCAAATGGGTCTGTCCAGGTGGTGGTTGAAGCCCCCTTTGCGGGAAATCTACTTCGAACCCTTGCGAAACGAGGGCCTCAAAAAGAGAAACCCGAACGACGCATTGCCCGCAAAACGGCGAATCGCTATCAGGGAGGTGCCAAGCGGAGATTTGCGTTTGTCTCAAAACTGTGGACCCTCAAACATGGCTAGCTTCCGTTGTTTGGTGTCCTTCTAAACCCAACCACAAGCTAGCCTGAAACAAAACACCCCCATCCCCATGTCCACGCGCGCGAGCGTGCGTGTAATGCGTGTGTGCCTGCCTGCGTGCCTGCCTAAAAACCTGCCTGCCTGCCTGCCTGCCGGCCCGCCCGCCTGCCTGCCTGCTTGCCTGCCTGCCTACCTGTCTGCCTGCCTGCGCGCCTGCGTGCCTGTTTGTCTGCGTCCGCGCTTGTCTGCGTGTCTACGTGTCTGCGTGTCTGTGTGTCTGCACATCTGCGTTTGTGCGTTTGTGTGAATGTTTGTGCGCTTGCGTGTGTGTCACTCGCCCCTCATTGAGGGGCGTGTGTGTGCGGAGCGACAGAATGACCCTGTCGCCGCTTTTTCCGATTCTCAGCAGGGGGGCACAGGCCCATGGACGTGACCTGTGCCAACGGAACTAACCACCACGGGGGAAGCGCGGACTGATCATCCGCGTGTGCCTGCACAAGTGATTTAAGGTCTATTTGCATGATTGCGTTTGCATTTCTTTGCCGGTTGAGCCGCCGGTTTTCGCATGCAGCCTTCGGTTGTACTCGAAAACCCACCCACTGGAGACTCATCAGTTGTACTCGAAGGATTAGCTTCTCTCTTGGGAGTTTGTGTTTGTGTGTCTTTGTTTCTTTGTTTGTGTGTTTGATTGTTTGTTTG